GTTTCTCATCGTGAACTAATGCTTTGACGTAGATGTAATTTTATTAATATTGACTGTTTATGTAGCCATATTGTTACATAAATAATTATATCCTACTTTTAATACACGAAGTATTTTTATATTAATAAATTTTAGTAAGAAGATCACAGAAAGCAAATTGTCTAAATTGATATTAAGATAACGTTATTTTACATTTACATAAATAATTACATCAATCTAGTTTTGTCAAGTGAGCTATTATTCATATACTTCCACGTATGCATTTAAATCTTTTGTTTATCAATCACCGCATCTCTTGCGGATTCCTATTTGCTTTTCATCGCCCCAGCAATTTCCTTAATTAAACAATAGATTAGCTTGAAACCGACTTGTTAGTGGTAAAATATTAGTAACGATACGTCACTTTCTATTGGTTTTATATGAAAGATATCATGGTTAACCCAATTGAACTATAAAAAAGTTTGAAAACACTCATATTATAGTACAAGATCCAGTGAAGCAATTTTCTTTTTATACAAATGAAGCGAAATTATCCTAAAAAATACAGAGGCAGACGATACACATTTTATTCTAAGATTAAAAAAAAAACTTACCTTTTACCAAGGAACTTAATGGCTAAATAGCATAATTCGCGGCCAATCATAACATGTGAAGCTTTGTCATAATGTTCGATTGGTTTGTGGTCCCTTGCTCTAAGGAAAATATTTGGATTAGATTAAATTAATTAACAACGTTACGAGAACTAAACTATATTAACTTAACGTACGGGGATTAGATTCTAAAATTTAACATAGTATAAGGAACAAGAGCAAAATTTGACCAGCCCAAGAAGCATGAGAGTAGTATGTGAATGATCATATTATATTGATGTCTTTGTTAGGGATTTAGGGTAAGTTGGTGTGCAATCTAAGCCGTCCAATTGTGAGGATCAATACATGACTTGACTGTAACCATTGTTGATAATCTTCTATGACACGTAGTACGTGATTTCTTCATTGTGGGTCCGCATCACATGGCAATCCTAGGTGGATGTTGATCGATCAATGTGGTCTAAACATTCGGAAAAGAAATTAATTAGTTGATGGTGCGGTTAAAAGGTGGAAAAATGTAGGAAAGTATTATAATGATGACTTCTTGACATTAGTTGTCTCACAGGGTACACTGGTAGTTGATTTACAACCCACACCTGGGTGAGGAAAATTTTCAAACTGCTCTCAGATTTACAAATCTAAAACCCAGACATGAACTAAATAAATTTGTCGGGTCAGAAAAAAAAGAGAGGAGAAAATCAAAGAGAAGCGATCTTCACCTTAGTCATCTTCTCCAAAACAACACAAGTAGCATTAAGCAGATTTTCATCTCAGCATTGATGTTAGAGACTGAAAAACAACTTCTTCACAAGGAATGGTGAGGCCCATGTCATGAGCAAAACCAAACTCTTCTTCAGTTTGATGAAGCAGGGTCTGGAACTCGGGTCGGGTCAAGAAAGAGATGGGAACAATGTACCTGCTTCTGTTTTCCCCAACGTATACAACGAAGTGGCCCCTTGGGACATCCAGGGGGAGTCCTTGTTCATCATAGCTTTGTTTCTTTCCTAAGCTGGAGCATCTTTTCATGATTTGCTTTATCACTGCTGTCTGTGCCAATTTGTTTGATTTCCCCATTGCCATTTTGGTTTTTCTTCCACACACACTAGATTTGGTGGGAGAAAAATGAAGAAATAGAGAATGGTTTAGAGAAGAATGAATGGGGGTATATATGGCGTGAGCTGATGTGTTACTGAAAGAGAGGGAAAACAAAGGCATGTGAGGCTGCCTGTGGGGACAAAAAAACCAAAAACAAACCATGGGTATTTTTGGGGTTTGTGAAGAGAGCTTTTACTATAGGACATGCCCCGAGGAAACCCCCTCTTGTTGCCCTCTCTAAGGACATCTTGGCCCCCTCCCTTTTCTCAAATTTAAACTACGTTAACAAGTTTTTATAATAGCATCATGTTTCTGTATGTCCAACTCCAGATATTATCACAATCAACCATATTATACGACTAAAGTTGGAATTTCAAAAATAATATCTTGGCTGCAAGAAAAATATATCAGTTTATCAATCATATTAATCATTAATAATATGTATATAATTTATTCGAGTTTAAAATCTTTAAAGAGAATTCGCTTTAACTTGAGATTTGAGGGGTAGCGTTTATGAAACCACTTGACACTCCCTTCTCTAAGATTTAGAGCTTCGGGTTCTGAGAATCCATTGACAGATGACGTTCACATGCATGTACGTGCATATTAGTGTTAGTATTATTTCTCGTTTCAGGGTTTTGAAGCCTCGGTCGATTCAAATCATCATTTAATTCAGAAGCCTTAATTGCCTCGGCTGCAAAGATCCCTCTATATATTTTGCGTCATGAAAACAGCTTTCAGGGGTTCAATAACCCCACAATGTTAACATCAATTCTGTCCTCTTTCGTCATTTGCGCATATGAATGAGCATCATCTGAGTTTTCTGTATTTCATGTCTTCCTATTTTATAATATTATTTTCAGTTAAATGAATATTTGCTAATATTTTAATATATAATATGCAGTAATTTATAAAATCAATACCATGCACGGATCCTAAATTAAAATGACCTTCTCTCGTCTAAATATTTTAAGGAAATCCTACATGATTCATCTCATAGTTTCTTGTTAATATATATTTCATTGCGAGATAATGTATAATTCAATCAAATAAATGATCGTTTTATCACATCGGTTAAAAGCCTTTAGCCAATTAAGAGAGTGTAGCCCCATTTTTTTTATAATAATATTCTAGATATTTTTTTAGTTTAAATATTAATGAAATAATTTTTAATTTTAAAATTTAAATACTCAATATTTTTTAATATAAAATTTAATAAAAAATAATATAAATTAGTTTTGTATTTTTTAACAGACTTAATACCAAAATAAGTGTACAAACTATACCGCTTTTCACGAATATGTTTCTAAAGTATTTTTTAACTCATCACTGTGCCTAACGTTATAAATGTTTCCACTTTAGGTGTCCGGGCCGTCAACGGTGTTAATTTCCCTCGTTAAGTGACATATGTCACAATCGGATAATTTTAAAAAAAATATATTTAAAATTAAAAATTGAAATTCTATATATATTTAAAAAAACATAAATAGTTTTGAAATAACTCTAAAACTTTGAAAACCTTCATTTCAACCCCTAAACCCACATCGACCACACCCTTTGCCGTCGATGAAGCTCCATCTAACCTCATCTCTCTCTGATGAACCAAACCCCTATGAAATCGACAGTCGATCAATGACGAATCGACGTTTTATAGCCTACACCCTATAATGAAAATCGCGATCCCACACGATTTCGACAGCCAATTGGTGGCAACTATGACAACGTATGACTATGAGGATGGTAGAGACTACATTGGCGGTGGTGGTCGTGGTTGGAAAAGTTAGGGAGGTTAAAGTTAAGATTTGGGGCTTTTGGGGCTTTTTATAATTTAAGAGAAATTAGTGTTTTTATAAAATATAATAATATTTTTAATATTTTTTTTAAAAAAATTCAAAATCACTAAATTATGACACATGTCACTTAAGGGAAGAAATTAACGCCCTTTACAGCTCGAGCACTGATTAGTGTTTTATATTCAATATATTTACTTGTTAATTCTCTCGTGTTATCGATTTATTACTGTCGATTTGGTTTTGTTTCACATATTTATGTGCAATAGTCTATTTTCCAGAACCAATAGTAATAAGGGCACATTTTGCATATTTTATTAACTGATCGTGGCTGAAGACATGGGTATGATATGGGACGCGATGTAGTTCGACGTGGTAGTTTCTATAAGGTTCAATCAGTAGCAATAGTTTCTAGAAGCAGTCCAGTCAACATTATCTGGAAGGAAGACGAACGACATTATTTAGGAATTTAAGTTGGAATTCAAAAATCATTTCAGGATTTATTTTTTTATGTTTAGAATAATTTATTTTTGAATTTTCATGCTATCTTTAGAGTTTTAGAGAGCTATAATTACCTCTTAGGGTAAAGCTTGAAATGTACTTGAATTCGATTTGTTTTGTTTTGTTTTTATTTTTATAAAAGTTTTCTTCATTTCATCTTTGTTTTTACTTTAAGTATTTACTTATTTTATTTGAAAAATTTTAAGTATGATTTCTATTATGCTTAGCTAATTTTCACAATTAGCAGATGACTTTGCAGTGACTCAATGCATATTGTGAGAATTGAAAATCATTTAATATATTCGGATAATCATTTTTATTTTTCTACAAACTTGGATTGACAATCATACTTTCCTTTCAAAATCTCAACACTTTCATTTCAAGAAGTTAACGTCGATCAGGATGTTGTTCTAATTTAAAGTTGGGAGGAAGAGTCGCATGGTAGCAAATTCGACTTTATATTAACACACTTAGCGGCGGTCTGCTAAAGGAAACTGAGATCGGATTCGATTCTCATTGAGACAACATAATACGAGTCGAGCTTTTCCAACGCGTAAATTTGTTATGGTGCTAACGGCAATAACCGTAGTTAGTCCAAACAAGGATTGAATTTTGAAGATTGACTTGGGAATATCGGTTTATCAGAGAGAAAAGTAAGTAGGTTGAGCCTTGTAGACTATAAATGGCACGAATCCAGAAGTAAAATCTCTTTCGATGATCAAAATGAATTTAGACAAAGCGAAGCTTGAGGCTATTTTTTTATCATTAATGTTTTTCAATTATTATTCACTCTTTGTTATTTCTTTATTTATTTATTTTACCTAGTTTTATTACCAAATCTCCCTTTTCTTTTTACTACAATTTTCCACGCTTGTCAAATTTGTATCGTTAATGGGGACTTTGATAAATTACTAATTTAGTTTTGTTTTAATTTACGACCAAGCAAAACCCGAGAAAGCTAGTAGATTATGAACCAGAGATCGAAGCACCAACTTGCAGGATTCATGGACAAAAGCTTCGATAAAAGAGACAATAGCGACAACAATAACATCAAGAATAACAATTAGATCCAATACCTAACACCATTCTTGACGTTGATACACACTTCACAAACGAATAACCAATTCTGATGGCTGATCCCATGATCCAAGAATTGACTGCGGCACCTGTGAGTATGTGGCAAAACCTGGCTGATTACAACCCCTTCCAATACCCAATTAGGTTTGGGAAGTCATTATAATGGACTTCATTGAAGGCCTCCCTACATCCTTCAAGAAGAATTGCATCCTAGTGATAGTTGATAAGTTCACTAAATATAACCATTTTCTATCACTGTCACATCCCTATTCAACAACTGAAGTGGCTAAGTTATACTTAGATAATGTTTATAAACTCCATGACCAGCCTAAAATAGCCATTTCTGATAGGGAAAAAACCTTCACCAACACCTTTGGAATGAACTATTGAAGCAGTTGGGTACAAAGACATTGTTCAACATATCATATCACCCACAAACAGATGGTCAGTCTGAAAGAGTTAACCAATGCCTGAAGTAGTATCTAAGGGGGCTTTGTTTTCTAACTCCTAAACAGTGGGCCAAATGGTTACCCTATGCTAAGTGGTGGTACAACACTAAATACCACACATCATTGAAACTAACCCCTTTTCAGGTACTGTATGGCTATAAGCTCCAACTATGGTTTAGCAAACAGACTCTCAGGTGCAAAGTGTGAATGAATTAATTAGCAACAAGGAAAAAAATAAGGCGAATTGTAAAAGACCAGTTAGAACATGCTCAAAACAGAATGGAGCAGCATGCTGATAATAATTACTGAGAAAAACAATTTCAAGTCGGAGATGAAGTTTACCTGAAATTACAACCTTGTTGACAAAATTCCCTTGCCCTGCGAAAGAATCTTAAATTGGCAAAAAAGTTTTATGGACTATATAAAATTCTATAAAAGATTAGGAAGTGACATATCGTTTGAACTTACCCGATGACTCTCGATTGCATTATGTCTTTCACGTTAGCCTTTTGAAAAAGAGAATTGGAGAATCGTAAACTGTTTCAATGAAACCCCCTACAATGAACGAAGAAGATCAGTTTCAGATTGCACCTTTGAGGATAATGGGCAAGCCAATTGTAAAGAGAAACAACAAGCCTGTCACTCAACTCTTGGTTCGTTGGGTAAACCTCAATGCCAATCACGACACCTGGGAGGACTACTCCGTGCTCAAAGTACAATTCCCATAATTTGATCCTTGGGGACAAGGATCCTTTCAAGGGGTGGGTATTGTTACGGTTGGAGAAGAAGATGGTGGTATCGAGGAGAGGCAATTAGGAATGATTGAAGAAGGGTTAAGGATTTCGAGAAAATCAATTTAGGAAGTTGGGAATTAGAAGAATGAGGGGAGTACACGTAAGAAGCATCTGATCATTAAAACAATGGACTTAGAAGGAAGCCCAATGCATACAGCCTAAATGGATTAGATGACATCTACATACTATTAGGGTTGTTTATGACTAGGACAACCAGCTGGTAGAGCTATTAGATTCAGTACTCTTGTAAACAAATAAAACACGTATTACTGAAGCATTTTCCTTATGATTTTGCTGAATGAATTCAATACTTTTTCTGTAAACCCTTTCTTATTCTCTTCTTCGTCTCAAACTATTCTAGTTTATTATATTTAGGCACTTATTTTATTATTAAGTCTTTTTAATAGTTTTGATATTTATTGTAAGGTACAATTATACATAGTCAGGGACGGATGACAAAAACAATTTTAATTAGAAAATACAAATAAAATATCTTAAAAAAAATTTAAATTTTTTAAGGGACGGTCGTCCAAACTTGTCTCGCCTAAGTCCATCCTTGATATTCTGTATATTTCTAAATATGTTCTAATTATGAAAACAAATGATATCAATTTGATATTAGATTGTATATAAAAATATAATATTTTATTGATTAGCAGGTGTAAGATTTTGAATTTAGAAAATAATTAAATTGAATATAATAAGAGATTCTAATAATAGACATAATATTTTTCTTTTTAAATGATTCAATTTAATATAAATTTATTTGTATATATTTATGAATTTATTTGAATTTAAAATCGAACACCTACATTAGTTTATAATCATATATTTGATTTTTAATTTTGTACACTTAATTAAATTGTTAAGCTCAAAAGGTCGATTTTTATTATCCTTTTAAGAAAAATATCACTATCTTTAACCACTGAAATCATTTATATTAAATTGAGAAATCTTTATATATGAATAATTCGACGTAATATATATTATTATAAAAATAACTTACTGCAAAACAAAACATTAGCACTAGCTGGAAAAATTAATAAAATAAATAAATAAAGACTAAATAATATTATTGTGCCGTGTAGTCACCGTCTTAGAAGCAATTTCGTCTGGATTGATGAAATCCCTAAAATGGATGTTGTCCCCTAAGATTAACACAATTTTCGAAACAATGTTACTTTTTTTAGAATAAAGGAAAATATTTTATTCGGAATAAACTCTATCATAAAAAGAAAAATTTCACTATGCTTTGTGAAGAGAGAAAATGTAGAAGAAAGAGGAGAATAAAGAAATGAGCGAGTTGGAAATGAAGGATAAAGCCTTATTTTATAGCTACAAAAATTAGGACATTTAGGTAAATTTGTCAAGAGAAAAATCAGCAAAAAATCTCCCAAAAATCTCAACTCCTTTTATTTTCTCAACATTTAAATTTTAATTAATTTAAAATTTAAATTCAAATAAAATATATTTATTTCTTTACATTATTATATATATAATCAACAATCTCCCACTAATGCAAAGAAGTAGAGTTCCACAAAAGAATTAAAAGAAAAGAACAACAACGAAATTAGTCACTTAAGTACTAGTATTTGTTAGATTTGAACTAGCACATAATGGAATGAGTAATTCTTCTCTTTAGCAAGTGAACGAATCTTGATCTTGTTAAGATAGGGTTAACTTATAACAAACGACTAACCTCATACCTATTTATGTTATGTGATAGTTCAACAATTTTGCTAAAAAAACCTCATGATGCTCATATGTGCTTTAGAAATACGACCCAAAGTCTTTCATAGAAGGTGGCTAATCCTTCACACTTACGTAGGTGATTTCATCAAATCTATTTTAATATAGACCACCCAAATTAAGGCTATAAAATCATTAAGAGCTTTTACTAAGCTTAACCTCTCATTTTATAAATTCGATAAATTCATCAAGTTCGTCTCACTAGGACCACCCACAAACTTAGGCTATGAATTCATTAAGAGTTTAAAACTCAACCTCACAAATCGATGTATTCATCAAATTCGTCTCACTAGGACCATCCAAATTATGGGCTATAGATTCATTAAGAGTACAAAATTTCACATTTAAAGTGTACATGATATACCATAGGGATTGGTAGGAGTGTATGATGTGAATTACTCATCTAATGGGCTTAAGTCACATCCCCCTCGATGAATCAAGAGCCATTTTTCTACATAACCCTTTAGTTAAGGGATCACCAAGGTTCTTTTCAGATTTTATGTACTCCAAAGCGAGTACTCCATTCTTTATAAGATGTCTCACAAATTCGTGTCTTATCTTGATGTGTTTCTTCTTATTATTGTAAGATTGATTATTAGCAATACAAATTACAGTTTGTAAATCACACACTAATTCCACTAGAGGTTGCAAGTAGATTCCTAAACCACTCGGCCTCTTGTCCAGCTAAATCAAGAGCAATTAACTTTGATTCAATGGTGGAGCGAGCAATAGACGTTTCTTTTACAAACTTCCAGAAAATAACTACTCCACCTAAAGTAAAATATACCTGTCAACACACATTTTCGTCTTACTAGGATTCAAACTCCTAAAAATAAGATAGAATTTTGCTAGGATTCAAACTCCTAAAAATAGGATAGAGTTCTACTATTATTTAAACTCCTAAAGATAGGATGCACAAGCATTATAAATAGTTATTGTAACTCACTATCGTAACACATTTGAAAGAGATATACGAAATACCAAGCAAAAAAATTACAAGCAACTCGTAGCCATTTTTCGAAGCATTTATATTTTGAAAGGTAAAGTCCATACTTTCGCATGTTATTTTTTCTTACCCTTGCTGTGTTTTGATTCGAAAGAAAACAGAGAGAATTGTTTTTGGCCAATGAACGGGGGCGTTTTCGAGATCTATTTTTGTAGATCTAGCCCCCGAGGCTTGTGTTTTTTTGAAAAACTATTCGAATTTTTATAAACGAGTCGTGTGGATCCGTGTGTTTTGCCTCTATAGTGGGTTAATGCCCATTTCGGTCCCCCTGATTTTAAATACACGCAGATTCGTTTTTTCTTCAATTGGCTTTTAATTTCGACCCCTAATTCATTTTTTGTTTTAATTTAACCCTTATTATTTATATATATATATATATATATATATTTAATTATATTTTATTTATTTATTATAGTTCTCCTTTTTTTCATTTTTTTGCATTATATTATATTATTTTCCTATTATATATATATATATATTATTTTTTTTATCTATGTTTACTTATTTACTATTTTTTACTATATTTTCCTAACGTTATATATATATATATATTCTTACTTCATTTTATTTTATATTTCTATGATTACTATTTTTTTAGTTAATATTATATGTATATTTATTTTTCATTTATTTATTATTATTATTACTATTTAGTATTTTATTATATTATACATACATTTTTATATTATATATATATATATTTTATTATTTTATTTATACTATTATTTATTTTCATTATATTTTTAGTTTCTTTGCTCTTATTATTATTTTTCTTTTTAAAAAACACTTTACCTTTTTTATTATTTTTGTATATATATTTTATCTTCATTTATTTTATTTTATTCAATTTCATTTTATTTTTTTTGTTTCATCCAATTATTTTATGTTTATTATTATTGGTTTCATTTATTTCCTTAGTTTACTCTTTAGTTTTGTTGCTTTCTTTTATTATTATTATTTTCTTTTAACATCTTATTTTTTAAGGGTATTTCCGTAAACTCATTAAGGGTAAGTAATTCGGATCAAATTTTACCTTTTAATTTAACTTGCAATTTTCTTAATCAAAGACAATTGGAAATTACGTAGTACCGAAAGGGCGGTTCAAGGGTGCTAATCCTTCCTTGACCGTAACCGACTCCCGAACCCGGCACATCTTTGGAAAGACGCAGATCAGGTAAGAAATAGGGTATCCGATCAACCCATTTGTTTTAAATAAATGATCGGTGGCGACTCCAATCCACATTTTTCAAGTCGAAGCCCAATTCCGGGGCCCAACCGAAAGACGGTTGCGACAATACCAACAAGTGGAACTTACTTTGTAACATCTCGATTCCCGGGTTAGTAGTTTCAGGCTGACCTAAGAGTGTTTTAGATGAACTCATTAGCCTTGTAAGAATGCTTGGGCCAAATGAGAATTGGTTTGGGATTGGCTTGGGCCCAATGGATAATAAAAAATGTATTTTATATTATGATCAAAGATAGAAAGACCAAAGGAGAAATTATACCGTTTTTAGTGTCTAATCTATCTAATTCGAAAACGATCAGTGGCGACTCCATCACTCAATCCAAGTCGAGATGAGAATCCGGAACCACCCAAAGGACCGTTAAGACATCTTGACGACTTCATTGTGGATTTTGAGAGTCATATCAAAATCGATTACTAGTTTTCTTCTTAGGCGAAACTTGTAAGTTTAGGTTTTAATTTATTTTTGATCTCATTTATTTACCTTTGATTATTTTCCCCCCAAATAAATAGTTCTACTAATGTGTGCTATTAGTGTTTTCAGATTTTTCAATAATATTATTTCTTAAGCTTTGTACCTGAGCTCCAAACCTTTTTAAGTGGGTGAAAGCGACACCTTTATGAGAATTTATTCTCTGTATGGGTCTGACAATTAGCCTTCAGGGTTCATATACATTATGTCTTCGTAGGAATTTATTCCTCATATAGGCATAGGGGAATGTATCCTCTCAATTTTAACTCGGTCCATATAAGTCTATGATGGGTTTATGATCGAGGGTTTGGTAGGCCCAAGGGGGCACCAACAAAGAGAGCGCGAGTCCTTTTTATATAACCAAACCTTGTTGCAACGCAAGATTAGAGCTTACCCTAAAACCACATACAAACCCTAAGATGCTTGTTTCTTTATTCTCTGCTTTAATTTCACCGTTCCAAGCATGTGAACTAGAAATTCATACGGATAGGTTATTCTTTGTCAGAAAGCATGTGGGATAAAAAATCATTATTGACAGGATATATAAAATTCATGCAGATACCATTTTGGTGATTGCAGTCATACTAAATAAAATTG